TCCCTTTGCAGCAATTCTTCCAACTGCAAACTCTTTCGAATGTCAACACTCCGATAGGAAAGCATACTGTAAAGTAGGTGATTACTGAGTATACAGTAGCGTTACTGTGCTTAACTTACTTGAGTACATCGTGAAAAGAAACATCCTCGCCGTTATGCAGCCGTTCCATCTCGTAGCACATGTGCTTGAAGAGAAGCCGATCCTTGTTTGGGTCCACCTCAAGTCTTCCACGAAGTAAGCGAAGAAGGAATTTGACTCGACGGGTGGGGATTGATCGCTAAAATCGCACCATCAATATCCCACGGGCAAAATTGTAAGATTTGTTTTGCAGATTTCTTAGAAATTATTTCTAATGACTAAATATGTATTCGGGCGTTAGATAATGTACAACGCTTATTTTAACTCCAGGAATAGTTTAACGTAGGAGACCAGTACTTGTACTCATTTACTTGTAGGCCTCCGCTAAGAACATCATTGATGTGCCCAAATCATTTTTCAATTCCTTTCCCGAGGACCAGTTCTCGCTAATCGACTCAGCATCAGACAACTTGCTATATCTTTCATGATGCTCCTACTATGTTATCAATCAACAAGTTTTTTTACAAACCTTTTGTTCTACGTCTACTATGTTCCATACTTGCTGGAAATTTCTTATGTCTGCATAGGACAACAGAGCATCCTCTTCGCTTGAGTAGAAAAGCGAGAAATTCTCCATAATGATGGCTAAAAAGTTGTTTTTCTTCCATGATTTATATCTTCCTAGAAGTAGTTGAATTGAAATTCTTACCTACAAGTAGATTCAAAACGATGTAGGTAATGATAAGGTAGAAAGAGCAGAAGTATAGTATAGCACCAAAGTAGTTCCCGCAATCGGTTTCCCAGTAGTTTAGACCTTCAGCCCAATAGCAGAATGGTGGAGAGCGCTGAAATCATTTTTCATATTATTATTTAAATGGCGAGCTTGCATATTAGAATAATACTTTTAATACTTTACATATGCTCCAACTGTGTTCTTTCATTTATAGAGAAAATAAGAGAAAACCTAACATCTTCACAAGGGAGGCAAGTTACTCAAAAACCGTTCGCTAGGGTTCTAATTCTCATGGGTACGAAGTTAGTCTGGAAAGTGAGAGTTTATCATCCAAAGTTTAGAGCTAAGTAATACGTTTTTTTCGCATTTTTTTTTTTCGAGAAAAACACAGGAAAGGCCAGATCTGAGATAGCTTGGTGTAACTGAGCTATACCCGGAAGATATTTCTTACAGACCAGAAGTGCTTGTCATCTACTTCTGAATAGTGTTGTTACTTTCTCGCTTTGCCCAAAGAATATTCTTCTTTTTTAGGTTGAATCACATGAACAAAAGATTAAAATTATCTCAATAAATTCAAAATACGTGTCATACACTGATGCAGGGTAACCGTTCTTCAAAATATGACAAAACCGTAGACTTTTACAAATTTTTTTGACACCATACTTTAAAAGGAGTCTTGCTTATGATGAAATATCCTGAATAAAGTCAGCGTCATTGCTTTTAAGGTGAAAAACAAAGATACATTGGAAATATCTTGAACAACTCACCATGCAGTCATGCATGATGTCATTCCAATCTTCTCCAGTAACTGAACGAAACAGCACTACTAGAGCCTCTCGACCATTACGGAAATTCACATGCCTAGACGTAAATATGTAATTTACGGAGATCTTACAATTTATGAAGTTATTTAGAAATTGTTTTACTTTGCTTCAACATGAAATATAGTGAAAATAGTACAAAATGTAATAATTTATTGAAGAAAGAAATAAGTGGAGAGTTTCCTTTAAACTCGACTTTTTCGAAAATTAATGCTCTGGTACGTTCGTACTCACTTGCTAACAGCTTGACCATACTTGACCATCCCAAACAATATGACACCAGTATAGGCATAGAATAGCACCAAAAGGAACATTGCAGCAATAATGAATAGTGATCGAACCATAGACATTAAAACAGTTAACATAAGCATCTTCAAAGTAGATTTCCGCCCTGAAAAATTGCATGAGTAGAGAAACCCTTTGAGTAAAAAATCTTTGTTGCTCTACCAGCAATGGTGAAAAATCGTAGAATCACGACCATATAGCCGAAAGTATAGGTTAATCTCTTCCACTCGTTTATCCCTCCGGCGATGTAAGCAGGCACTACAAAGAAAATTATACGAGAAATAAAATTTGTGGAAAAAAGCATAAAAGAATTCTACCTTGAAATAAGAAATGAAAAACTATCCATGTCAGACCAAGAATAGTAATGAGGAAATCGCCGCGATTTCGTCGTGATTGCCAAAAACCGCGAACTGTGAACGCGACAGCTTTCAAAATAATCTATAATTTAGCCATAGAATAACCGTAATGTATTATCTGAATTGAACGAAATGACCTCAATAGTGAAGAGTACATTGCAGAAGGCGGAAAGGATAGTAAGACCAAAGAGAACGTTCCGTCGCTGTTTTTCCTCCTCGACATTCCATGGAACCACAAGCGTGAACGAGTTCACCACTACCAATATCGCGAAGAACTGAAATTGAAAGGCTAGTGATTTTTTCTACTTCCGTTTTCTTTTCCAAGTCAAAAATGCCAGAAAGGATTTTGAGAGCAAATTAGATTATCACTAACGCTTCTTATGGAGTAAAAAAATGATAAGAGAGTCTGTAATTTATCAAATTCGTTGCTGTAGGTTTCCAAACATGTGCCATACCTGCTTAAAACCTTTACTCAACGTCAACTCGTAAAGGTAACTCCTAAGCTTAGCACTCTCAGGTGGCTTTGGCGGAACATGCAGAGGCTGAGCCATCTTTAACCTCGCCTTCAAGTCGTGCCATCGTCGCTGATCCACTGTGAGTAAAGCGGTGCCCTGAAAAACATTATTAGTATGCAGGGTGACGGGGTATTTCACCCAGCGTACCCTATTTTCAGTATAATTCGCTACGACAACTCCCACAAAAAGTGTGAGACCGATCATGCAGCCAATGAACACATAGATGTGAATGAAAAGCACAGCCCACTGAAATGAATACATTTTATGCGTAAATTAACATGAATCAAGGAACAATTATCCTTACCGGTCCTTGACGAAGGTAGAGGATATCACGAATGACATTCCAGCCTTTATAGGATAACGTCTCAAATAAGGCGAGCATAGCGTTACCAATGTGATCAAAGTTGAAATTGCGAGGATTGGTCCTAAAAGAATTATGAGGAAGAATTATGTGAATTTGATAATTTGATATAAGGATGCGCTTACCATACGCGAGGCACAAGAATCTTTGGATGAAGTTTATCATCATTTTTCCCATAAACTTCCATTCTTGTAACAAATATTTTCTGCTCAAAAACGCCTGTGCAGTTTCTCTAAAGTCAAGCCATTAAAGTTGAAGAAAAAGATGATGAAACTTACTGCTGAAAATGGGGACCATTTCTCATTTTATCTATGGAACTCTTTGAAAACTTACCCTTTCTGTAATTGTGGGATCATTACAAGCGGCTAATTTTCCACCAACGATTTGTACACCAAAGCTGGCAAACATAAACATTAGGACGATCAGCAAAATTGTTACCTAACAGGGGTTGTTTTTAATTGGAAAGTTGACAAGAACGAGAAAAAGTCATTCCCAACCAAAAGAATCTCCTTAAATCCTCGGCATAACTCGACTACGACCCTTCGAATGTGCGGAACAAGAGCATAGATTCGTAAAGGTCGCATTGCTCTCGTAATCATTAACA